TATATATTTATTTATGTGTAATTTAAAGGGTTTTGTAAATAATGGTGAACATTTTAATACTTTTTTTTATAAATGGGCTTCAGATTTTAAAAGTTTTCCCCACCCCAAAAAAATAAAAAAACAAGGTACTGGCTAAACTCCATACACTGCTGGATGATGTACAGTCTGTTTTATGCTAAATATTTAAAAGACTTTTTACAAATAAAATAAAATTCTTCCCGTATTTTTTTTTTTGGGGGGCCGCCGGAGAGTTATGAAATGTGCGTTAGCAAGCAATAACTGCATATTTGGTAGCAACATTTGGAACGAGTGCAAAATGCATGTGCATTTGTGCATCTGGGGGAGTATGTGCGTGCGCGTGTTTGTGTGTCAATAATAGAAGTCATAAAACTGCAACCACTCTTTTGTGAAGGTTCCCTTATATTTAAAAGACCATCATATACAACAATCCATATAATAGAAATGTTCTGGGCAAAAATATTGAATATTGCTTACTGGGGAAAACTTTATTATTATTTTCCTAATGTGGGTCGGACAACAAACCCCATAAATTGACATTTTAATGTATGTTGTACATGTGAAGCAGAGTGCCAGGGAACCTAACAATGATGGGATCCCACTCTATAGTCTCCTTCCCTCCCTTGTCCATCAAAAAAAATATATGCCTGAGCAAATAAGGTTACCTTAGGGTACCTTAAAATAAATACATATTCTGCCTAACTGCTTAAGGGTATAAAATAAATATAAAGCTATAAAAGGGCTGGTAAGCTCACATGGATTATGTTCATATGTCTCTGTTCAGCCTAGTTAGTTTACTGGACCTTGACTGATCTTAAAAAAAAACAAAACTAAAACAAAAAAAACCCTAAGTCTGGTCAGACCTGATTAGTATTTGGATGGAAGACCACTAGGAAATCTCAGGGTTACAGGTTAGACTGGGAAGTCAGACCAATCAAAAGAAGGTAATAGCAAACCCAAACCTTGTGGTTGTGAAGTCATGAAGAGACAGCTTAAAGTTGACTCTATGTACCTACTCAGCCCAACTGTCTGGGATAGCAGGGTGTGCTGACCATAATTACAGAGCGTGGCCAACATGTCAGGATCAAGTGGCTAGCTCATGGCTTACTGAATTCTGACAACTGAGTTACCAGATGCTATGAGAGGAGGACTACAAAGAGATCAATTCAATGCACAATGTAACTACAAACTCTGTTAGCTATCATCTTGGATAATTCCCAGATAATTCAGATTCCCAGGGCGAATCAGTTTTCCCTGTGGTTTTTAACCATCCTCTAGGACAGTGTTTCTCAACTTCAGCAATTTTAAGATGTATGGATTTCAATTCCCAGAATTCCCAACCAGCATGGTAGACCAGACTAGGAAACCAAGATTATGAATGCTTATGTACTTTATTGTAAGGTTACAGTAACAGAATTTTTAAAGTCTGAATACGCTTCCCCCCTCCCTCCCTTTACCTTTGTGAGAACTAGGGAGGGTTCTGTCCAAGATGCTTTCTCAGATTACATTTCTGCCCTGGACTCAGATTTCTTTTATCTGACCCTTGCCTTGGCTGTGTCTCTTCTCCAAGGTTATTCCTTCTTCCCATTACAGCCTACTTCATAACTTCTTTGTGTGAATAATCATAAAGGAAACGAGCAGTCCACCTGTTGGCAATTTCTTATGGCAGTTATATCGTCCTGAAATTGCACGGCTGCCCTCTGCAGCTGCCGTGCAACCCCTTGAAAAGATGGTTCGTTTAAGGAGTTGCAGGCAGTGCGGTGTTTACATCCCTGCATGCTCCAAAAAACGTTTTGCCTTTGTTTCTGAAGTACTGTATTGCACAGGGCTCTAAATACCCTTGATCTCTCAGAAAGAGGGTATAGACCAGGATGCCTTGGTGATGATAATTACTGTAATTCTTGATCACCACTTGGATGGACTACTGTAATGCACTTTTTGTGGGGCTGCCCTTGGAGACTTCTTGGCAGTCACAACAGGGATAGAATGGGGCAGCCAGACTGCCAATGGGCCAAACCAACTATTTCACAATAACACCAATTTTAAGATAGCTGCACTGATTGCTAGTAGGTTTCTGGGCCCAATTATAGATCCTGCTTATACTTTTATGGCGATGGGAATATATCAAGAACTACTTTGCCAGAACTGACAGTCCTAATGTGGAAGGAAGGCCTCCTGAAGATCCTACTCCCTCAAGAGGTATATGGGATGGGCGCCAGACGGCAAAACCTTTCGCTGATAGGGCCTACCCTTTGGAATAAGCCTCCACCAGAGGTGTGGTTGGCCCATCCTTTGTTGCATTTTGTAAATCTCTGAAGGCCATCCTCTTCCAAGAAGATTTTGGCCCTGAATGATTGGGGTCACTCCGGCTATGGTTATTGGTATTCTGTTTCTCTTATACTGCTTGCTTGGTGGTTGTTTACCGTCCAGGGCAAAGCAATTGATTGGAGCGGTTTAGAAATATTGTAAAATATATATGTATATAAATTCAGTTAATAAGAACAGGATCATAAACCACAGTAGCAGAGTTGGCATAACGCTCAAGGCTAAAAACAGTGTATGACTTAATGCAGTACGTAATTCCAATCTGCAGAAGTTCATTACTTGCATGCATCAGTCAACAATAATAACAATAACAACAACAACAACAACAACAACAACAATAATAATAATATTTATTAAATTTATATCTGTTGGTCCATGTGGATTTTCCCCTCAAATGGATTTTGAGCCATTTCTAAGAACATTTTGCTCGGTCTTCCTGCAATTAGCAATGCTTTTTCTTAAAAGGTTAACTTTAATAGCTATTTAACTATAGATGGCAGGTGATAATTGCAAAAGAGACATTCCTCCTTTGCTAGCACAGGGCAGCATGCCACTGTAAAAATGCTGGCAGCAGTGTCACCGTCAACCACAAACTTCCTACAGTACCATTGTAATGCCAATTCAATTGGTTAAATTTCACATGCTTTATTAAAATGCAATTAGTGAGATGGAGCCCTAGTATTTTCATCGCTGGTCCATAATAGAATCATCATCATCATCATCATCATCATCATCATCATCATCATCGTCCCAGATCAATCCACCACAGGATGAAGGCCTAATCCACTGCTTTCCAACTGCTTCAACTTGCCACAAATAATTTCCAGTTAATGCTTCTAAATCAGAGTTTCCCAAACTTTGAGGTTACCTCCCTTGGGGAGGTGCAGAGTCCAGGGGAGGTGTGAAGAACCTTTTAGTTATACATTCTTACATGAAATCCACCTTTCCCAAAGTTTCATTGTATTGTTTTCATTGTCCATTTTTCTTCATTCTGATGTCTGGATTTTTAGGGGAGGTGTATCATTAAGGTTCCACTAAAGGGAGGTGTGATGGCAAAACATTTAGGAACCCCTGCTCTAAATGGAGCTACATCATCTGTCCAGTGTTTTTTTGGGTGTCCAATAACAACATATGGGCTGAAAAATATTTTTTAATGCATATTTACAAAAAAGAAGAGTGAAATTTAATATTCACTACCTTTCTTCAACCTGGGTACCTCTAGATACATTTGATTACAATGTCTATCATTCCCAGCTCACAAATTTACTAAAAGTTCCACTGGCTTCACTGAGATTTACTTCTGAGTTATATAACCTATATATGTTTGTGCTAGAAAACATGGATTTTTAACGGACTGTTATTTTAGGCAGAAGCGATTACGGCAAGTTCCTGCAAAAAAAGAGAACGATGGAAATGTTTAATATTGTTTCTGTCCCTCTGAATGTTATTTTTTCCTTTATGCTGAGAACCTTTGATCATGCTAAAACACAATATTTTAAATTAGCTAAGCAGAAAATGTAAGCTTGCTTTTTATTAATGAATCACTGGAGTAATTGCCCTCTGGGAGAAGAAACAAGCATTTTTCCACTTATTAATTACAGCATGGATCCAAATGAAGCCAGCAAGATTGTCTAGTGGGACTAAACTAGTGCTTTGTACAGATGCCACCACTCAACAAATTGCTTTCACTGCCTGGCTAATACATATGGCTATCCTTATGATACAGATGGTATCACAACAATGCCGAGTTCAGTGCTTAAGAAACTTTAGAGAGTTTGGCTGCGTAGAGGAAAAAGAAATATCTTACTAATTAAGATACAGGGAGTCCCCAGTTCAAGAATGAGTTCTGTTCCCAAGGTCTGTTCTTAAGTCACATTTGTATGTAAGCTGCAACAGTATTATTGCATAATACTGTAGAAGTAGTATTGTGTAATGAACTCGAACCATTGTGTATTTAACTCGAATCATTTGCATTTAACTCAAATTTTGCTACCATAGGCTCCATTCTTAACTATGGGTCATCCTTAAACCAGGCGTTCGTAACCCAGGGACTACCTGTATTGCACTAGTGGGAGTTCTGCACAAAATGTTGTGGTGGACAGTGCTCTTTTTTTCTTTTTACACAGTTATCCACTTCACTCAGGAATAGTAGTAGTAATAGTAGTAGCAGTAGTAGTAGTAATAATAGGTATCATTTGTTCTTAAGACTTGGTCTTGTGCAGCCAGAATTAGCCCCTCTGTCTCTTTCTTCAATTTTCCTGGTCTTAGCCACTGTCAGGTCTTGTTATTATCTGTTTTGCTGATAAGAAAGACAAA